AAAATTGGATTTTTAGGTCCAACCTGCAGCACTGTTGCAGATGAGTCTGTCCCTGGATCTGCTGCCAAAATATGGAAAATTAATGATGCTTCTGGCCATGATGAGCCCGATGTCCCTGCGCCTGCATCTTCCTGGGTGAGCAAACCCAGCCAAGCCTGAGCCCTTCCCGAGCCCCAGCAGGATCCAGGGAAAGCAGGAGCGTGGAAGTGACGGGGTGTGTACAGGGGCAGCACAGGGAGCAGCTCCTGACAGCAGAAAAACAGGGTGATGGATGGCCCCCGGGGCAGTGCCAAGCTTGGAACCCTCCCTGTGTCCCACCCCGGGGTGTTCCGGGGGCATTTCGGGTTCTGCTGCTCTGGCCAGGCTGGTTTGAGATGGGATCAGGAGTCAGCACTCAGCCCCCAGGAGGAGGCTGAGACAAAGTGTCACCTGGAAAAAGCTCCAGAGCACTTTAAACCTGATTTTTTTATCCCCTTTCAATATTTTTTTCCCTAATCATTTCTCATCTCCAGCACTCAGCAGGGAGGATGAGGATCCTTCAGCCCCTTCCCACCACTCAGCCCCCTGAGAAGCTCCTCATTTTTCAGGCAGAGGTGGGTCCAGGGCACAGAGGGACAAACCTGTTGCTGACTCGAGCAAAGCTTTCCCAGTCTCTGCAGTGGAAGCAGGACTAGAATCAGCCCCTGAGAAGAGGAGCAATTTCCTGATTTACTTTCTGGCTTGGATCCACCCAGTGAGAGGGGAGGGAATGAGCACAGCCCTGACCTGGGGGGAGCTGGGGATGTTTCTCACCTACAGCAGCTGATGCAAAGACCCTCCTGCTCCCCCCAGTACCCCAAAAAAACTGCATTAGGCTCATCCTGCCTCAGCCCTTGCTCTTTTCCTGGGAGAGCTGTGGTTCTCTGGGGAGCTCACATGTTTCCCTGCCACCCTGATCCGTGTGTGTGGGAAGCAGTCCTGCTGAGATCCAACAGTCCCTGAAAGCTTAGGATAACCCTGGATCCAGCACCCAAACAGCACCAGTTTGGCAGGAGGAGTTACGGGGTCGAGGCTTGCTTGGAGCCTCCATGGTGATCCAAGTTTATGGGGAGGATCTTTGCCCTCTTGCTCTGTTCTCTGAATAAAAAAGGCTGGAAAAGGGTACAGGAATGGGGCCAAAATCACACTGCTTGCTCTGGTTAAGTCTCCAACACCACAGTTTGGGGCACACTTCATAAAGATGCTGGATTCCCCCAGGAACCCTCTGCAGCTCCGAGGGCAAACCTTCCCCAAGCCCAACGCTCCATTCTCTCCATCAGTTTATTCCCAAGCCACACTCTCAGGAGCACCTGGGAAGGAGCTCAGGGCTCCATCCCTCAAGTCCATCCTGGTTTTCCACCCAGCTCAGGGACAGGAGGAGCCACAAAGCCCCAGGGGGTTGTGTTCTGCTGATTGCCAGGGCTGCAGTTCATTAACAGAGCCAGAATCCCAGTAACTCCAGTGCTACCTCAGGTCACTGGCATTGCTTTACCAACACGTTCGCTGCCTATAAAGAGAGTGAGGGGACACTGTGTGACCCCAGGGGGGCCTCCCAGGCTGGGCTTCCCTCAGGAAATACTCAGTTCCCAGTGCAGGGGCAGGGAGGGGAGAGCACACGGGACAGGGTAAAGCAGGGAGGCAGCAGTGCCTGGGAATGCCTGGGCTTGTTCCTGACACAGCCCTGGGCTGCTCCTCGCTCCCCCCAGCCAGGCACTGCCAGTGGAAGCTCATAGAATGATAGAGTCATAGAATCATAGAGTCATAGAATGATAGAATCAGCTGGGTTGGAAGGGACCTTTGAGATCATCCAGTCCAACCCTTGATCCAACCCCGCTGTGGTTCCCAGCCCATGGCACTGATGCCACATCCAGTCTCTTCTTAAAAACCTCCAGGGATGGAGAATCCACCCCTTCCCTGGGCAGCCCATTCCAATGTCTGAGCACCCTCTCTGCAAAGAAATTCTTCCTAATCTCCAACCTAACCCTCCCCTGGCACAGCTGAAGACCCAGCCCTCTTGTCTTGCTGATGGTTGCCTGGGAAAAGAGACCAACCCCCCCTGGCTCCCCCCTCCTGTCAGGGAGTTGCAGAGAGTGAGGAGGTCTCCCCTGAGCCTCCTCTTCTCCAGGCTGAGCCCCCCCAGCTCCCTCAGCCTCTCCTCACAGCACTTGTGCTCCAGTCCCTTCCCCAGCCTCGTTGCTCTTCTCTGGACCTGCTTCAGCCCCTCCATGTCCTTCCTGAGCTGAGGGGCCCAGAACTGGAGCATCCCCAGCTCCATCCCAGGTCATGGCCCTGCACTGACAGCAAGAGACAGAGGAAAAAATCTGCAAACACTCTGGGTTTGGCCACAGAGCCAAAAACTGCTGCTGGGCCACGTCAGTGTGCTGATAAAGGGGGTGGAGTTATTTAAAAGCCACGTGGATGTGGCACTTGGGAAAATGGGCAGTGCTGGAGGAACGATGGGACTCAATCTCAGAGCTCTTTTCCAACCTAAATGATTCCATGATTCCATCATAACCCACCTCGCTGGCACTGGGGGTGCTGGACTCTTCCTGCCTCCCTATCCCTCCATCCAAGCAGAGGACAAGGCTCACATTCCAAAGCAGACTCATGCCAACGTGCCTGGGCCCAGCAGGACACATTTTTGGGAACTGCTGAAGGGAGATCAGGGGTCTGAAACCGTCCCTGGCGTCAAGGGAGCAAAGGGACACCACTGGAAGCATCCACAGGGGCAAGAAACACATTCCACATGGGAATCCACAGCAACCCAGCTCTGTGTTCCCCAGGCCCGGGTCCAAGGGGTGGTGGGCAGGGGTAACTCTTCTCTTTGAGCTGCCCCAACAAGACCAACCACTGGAATTGGGCTTGATCCACGATAAATACCAAGATCTGCAGCTTATTCCTGAACCAGCTCCATCTCCTGCTTTCCACAGCTTGCACAGACACCAGTACCTGTCCCAGGATCTGACAGATGGCCAGCAGCGAGTCGGGCTCAGAACCAAGCTCATCTCAATTTGCAGAGCTGCCAAGAACCCAGGACCAGAACAAACAGCCTCAGCAGGAGATAAATCAGGAGCAAGGGAAGAGGAGCCTCTGCGGCTCCCAACGGCTCCTGGCTGGAGGCAGCTCTGCCCCCTGGTCACCTCTGGTCACCCCTGAGCTCTGGAGCATTGCCCCCTGACCTCCTGGGCCAGCATCCCACCCATCCTACCAGCAGGACCCAGGCATTGAGGTTCCCTCTTCCCAAAAGGTCTCGAGCATCTCTGAAGCCCCCCTGCATCCACCTGTCTCCAGGTGCAACACCATTGCAGCAACGTGGGGGGAAGTGAACCACGGACACCTCTGGTGTAAATTGTAAAAAGCACTCTGATATGTGCAGGGAAGACACCAGAACACCCCAAACACGATCACCAAAGTGCCCTTCCCAGTAGATGCTGCTGCCACCAGCAAGGAGAGAAACCTCCTGGTCTCCTGCAGAAATGGGATTTGGGAGCAGTGAAAGCAGCTCTGGATCCTCAGCTCTTAGAGCTCCTCCAGGCTCCAGTGGGACCAGGTTCAAATGCTTCAGCTGAAGAGATGCCCAACTTCAGCATTTCCTGAGGATGACGATCAGCACTGGCTTTCATCCCTCTCCTTCAACCCCTCCAGTTCAGCCTCCCCCTCCCAGTCTGGGGCAGGACTGGAGCCCCCTCTCATCCTCACATTAACAGGCATTAAGAAAAGACACCAACTTCACAGGAAAAGGAACTTCCAGGAAAAAAACATGAAACATTTCAAGCAAATATTTGACAGTATTTGCCCAAAGATGAGCAAAGCTTTTAATTTTCTCTCTTTTCTACGGTTGAGCCGGAATGCCAAAGGGAATCCTTGATTTCCCAGGAGGAAACAACCAATTTGCTTTTACTGCTGTGATAAGTGTGATTGCCCCCAAACACCTCCCTGCATCCCAACCCCATCCAGTCTCTACCATCCCAACCACTTCCAGAAGCAACAGATCCCTGAGGGTCTCCAAAGCACCAACAGGTCTTGGTGAGCAGCTCATCCCAACCACTTCCACAAGCAACAGATCCCTGAGGGTCTCCAAAGCACCAACAGGTCTTGGTGAGCAGCTCATCCCCTCTCCTGCCCCATCCCAGCTCCAGGCACCATTCCCTGGGAGCAACAGGCAGCAGCCTGAACACATAAAAAAACCTGCAGAGCTAAAAATCTGAACCTTGCCCTAAGAATTATCCCAGCAGTCGAAGGTGCAGCTGGATTTTGTGGCACTGGATTTACCCTCACAGGGGCTGAGTTGGTGGGAGAGGGGCAGAGAAGGCTGGGACCAGGCTGAAGGGGACTTTGTTTTCTCATGGCAGGAAGAGTTTTGTGTTTTCCTGACTCATCTCCCCCTCAGTTTCCCATGGAAAACCTCAACACTTAAGCACAGCTCCGTTTCCAAACCCAGAGGAGCCTTTCTGGCAGCCCAGAGCTTCTGGCAAGGCAGCACTCGACACATCACAGCTCCCCACGCTCGAACCCACCAAAGCCGTCGGGGGGGAGAGGAAAGGAAAACGTGGGGACTTTTTTTCCCTACTGAAAACCTTTTGGTCACCTTCAGCCACAACCTCACCACGTGCCCAGGAGATGTCCCTTTCACACCACCCTGAGATGGACAATTGAAGCCCAGGGAGAAGAGCTGGAGGGGCAGAAGTTGGAGCGCTGGGGAGCAAAGGGACAGACCTGTCCCCGTGCAGGGCAGGGCTGCCAGCAACGGGGTCACAGACCCCAAACAGGGGCAATCAGGGGGAGGAGAAAACAAAAATGTGGGGCCAGCACAGGGAGATGTGGTGGACGGAGATGAAGCGGATGGAGAGGCAGGAGAACATGGATCTGGGGAGCAGAGAAGAGCCAGGGGGCGGATGGAGATGAACCCCTGCCTTGGATCAACAACCAACCTGCACCTCTGTCCTGCAGCTCCCCCTGCCAGCTCCCACCCCCAGCCGTACCTTTCTGGATGCCTCCATCAGCCGCGCAGGAGAAGTCCCCCGTGGCCAGCAGGAAGCACGTGGAGGATTTCTTGTTCCTGTCCCTGGTGCTGGAGCGGCGCACGGGCCCTTTCCCCTCGCCCGCCGGCGACAGCGGCTGCTCCTCGTCCGACAGCACCACGTTGGCCTCCCCGTTCTGCTTGGAGTCTGCAGGGAGGCGGCAGAGACCCATCAGCAGCTGATAAACCACAGAGCGAGGTGCTCGTGGTGGCCAGAAGGGTTTGGTCAGACCCTTCAAGGAAGCAGATGGAACCAGGCTGCAGACAGTGCAGGCAGAACCCACCAACTCAGGGACAATCCCAGCCTGGACACTAATTTGGAGTAATTAACTCCAGGGGAGCAGAACTATTCCAGCCTTAATTCCGAGCCGCAAAGAGCAGCTCCTCCCCTGCTGAGGGTTATAAACCCTACATGAAGCCAAAGCTAAGGAGGAAACCCCCCAGGTCTTTGGGATCCACCCCCTTGATTAGTGGGGATTAGCTCTCCAAAAATTCTTGGAGGACCCGGCTGCTCGGGACAGTGGGAGGTGCTAATTAGTGTCACTGACTCCCTGGTTCCTCAGCTGAGAGCAGGCTCTGCCACGGGAGGGCCTGGCCTGGGCTCCCGGGGGTGCAGGGGGAAGGGACAGGGCTGACCTGCTCTGCAGAGCTCCTGCTCCCTCTGCCAGGGCTCCTGGGGCAGGCAGGATGTGCAGGCACGAGGAAAAGGGAGATTTTATAAGGAAAAAAGCTTTTTGGGGCATTCAGAGCTCCCCGTGCCCCCGCAGATGGAGGACACTTAACCACATGTTCCAGATGTGCAGCTGTCCAGGGCTGAGCTCAGTGAGATCATGTGGGTGCAGGACACAACCCCTCCGGGGTCCCTCCTCTTCCAGCTGTTCCAGAGGTGCCACTGGCAGCAAACCAAGAGGAAAAGGGCAGAGCAGCTGCCATGGCCAGTGGTGACACCAGGACAGGGCCCTCAGAGACCCCCAGGCTGAGCCCAGGGGGTGGTGCCCACAAACAGCTGCCCACAACTGGAGCCATGCCCTATCCCAACCCAAAGGAAGGACTGGCCAACCCCCAAACTTCAGGATGGGAGCGAATAATAAATGTCCAGGGGCTGGTTTTGCTCAGGATTTGGAACAGCCATGCAGGGATTGTGTCCACCAGAAAATGAATGGGGAGGTAGGGTCAAGCCCCAGGGAACATCCAGGGATTTATCCATTTGATGGAGGTTTCCATGATTTATGGTGGGAGGAAGCAAAGGAAAATCTATCCCAAGGGCATGACCAGGCTTAGATGGGAGTTGGGCAAGTGGCCTTACCTTTGTCAGCGTGAGGGAGAGGTGGGCAGTGGAGGAACACCTGGAATCCCACCGTGGTGAGCTGATCTATGCCATTAGGAGAGCATGGTATGTGTTTTGGAAGAGCAGGATATGGCCTTCCCCCCTTTCCTGGAGGGGGGACTTGATCTGCAGCATCCTGGTCCACCAATAGGGCCCCCAACAGCCTCACACTCGAAGGTCCCAGCCCCTTCTACACCGAGTTCTCACCCACCCCAGAGATGGAGGCCACACCCTGCGCTGTCCCCAGGGTCACAGGGGACCAAAGATATTGCCTTGGGTGCTCCCGGAGGTCTCCCCCTCCCTGCTCCCCCCCTTTGGGGTCTCACCTGACCGTTTCCGCTCAGTCGCCCCCTCCTCTACTGCCAACGGGCAGGTGTCGCTCTGGGTGCTGTTCCGGGGGGAGTTTTCCTCGGATTTGCCGTAGGTGGGGGAGTCCAGAGGGGCTGGGCGGGGTATATGCTTTTTCTTCTTCTTTGGCAGCTTCTGCTTGGCCATGGCCAAGGAATAGTACATCCCAAAGTTATTGACGATGACGGGCACGGGCATGGCGATGGTGAGCACCCCGGCCAGGGCGCACAGAGCCCCCACCACCATCCCCGACCAGGTCTTGGGGTACATGTCACCGTAGCCCAGGGTCGTCATGGTGACCACGGCCCACCAGAACCCGATGGGGATGTTCTTAAAGTGGGTGTGGTCGCTCCCGGTGGGGTCGGACGTCTTGGCCCCGATGCGCTCGGCGTAGTAGATCATGGTGGCGAAAATCAACACCCCCAAGGCCAGGAAGATGATGAGGAGCAGGAACTCGTTGGTGCTGGCGCGGAGGGTGTGGCCCAGCACCCGGAGACCCACAAAGTGCCGCGTCAGCTTGAAGATCCGGAGGATCCGGACGAAGCGAACCACCCGCAGGAAGCCCAGCACATCCCGGGCGGCTTTGGAGGACAGGCCACTGAGGCCCACCTCCAGGTAGAAGGGCAGGATGGCCACGAAGTCAATGATGTTGAGCAGGTTTTTGACAAAGAGAAGCTTGTCTGGGCAGCAGATGATGCGAACCAGGAACTCGAGGGTGAACCACAGGACGCAGACGCCCTCGATGTAGGTGAGGATGGGCTCCGTCTCCACCTTGTGCGTCAGCAGCACCGTCGTGGTGTTGCCCACCACGAGGGTCTCCGTCACGTTGACGTCGATGTTGAAGGCCTCGTGTGTCTCCAGGCAGAAGGTCGTGATGGAGACCAGGATGAAGAAGAGCGAGGCAAAAGCGACGACCTGGGGAAGCAGGAATTACACGGGCCATGAGTGATGTGGGGTGACCTCTCCTCTTTGGGGGAGACTCAAAACACCCCAGGAGCTGCCACCCACTGCGCCAGGACCAAGGGTGGGTGGCAGGGAAGGGTTCCTGGACCTTCCTATGAGTTGGCAGCAAACCTCAGTGTCTGGGGCCAGAACCTTTCTCCAAGTGCTACGATCTGTCCATGGCAAGGTGAGCTGGGCTCCAGCTGTGGCTGGAGATGTGCCAGAAATGACAGTTATGGGGATGAAGTGAGACCTGGAACAGCCTGGGATCAGAGTGAGACTCTGCTGGGAACAGACACAAAATTTAAGAATTTAATTCTTAAATTTTAAGAGGACAAAGTCAAAGAACTCTCCCCCACGTGCATCCCAAACCACGCCAGATGAGAGGTTCTCATCATTCATGACTGTGAGGTTTGGGGTCTGGATGTGTCAGAGATGTGCCTGCAAAAGGTCCCAGGACTCAGAGGGCAGGAAGGAGAGGAGCAGGCAGAGCTCAGCCTCCCGCTGAGGCCTGGGCCTGGTGACACCCAGATATTCCCATTTGTCCTCTCTGGCAGACCAGTGAGACCTTTGTCCCCTCCATGCCACCTCCTCCTCGTGGATATCAGCGAGGAGGGTGGAAATCAGAGGCTGTGTCAGAAAGAACCACCTTGTGGTGCCCCATCAATCCTGCTCAGCCCCCTCCCGGCAGGATGAGCTCATGATGAGTCCTTTACCCAGAGCATCTGTTTCCAAGAGCCCCTGAAAAAAGAAAAAAAGCTTCTGAGCAGAAAAGCTCTTGCTTTTGTCCCCCCTTCCTCCAGCACAAAACCACAGTGGGTTTGGCTCCCTGGGAGCAGATCCTGCTCCAGCCCCTTTGCTGCCCCTGCACTGAGCAGGATGAGACCATTTGTTGGGAAGAGCTGCTCCATGAGGCTGCTCCAGGAGACAGCCCCGGCCCTCGGCTGGAGTGAATCAGCAGCACAGAGAGCCTGAGTCACACTGGAGAAAAACCCAAGCCCGGAGTGGAAGCCCAGAGCCTACCAGGAGCATCCCTGAGGGGTGTCCCCAAGGGCAAACCCCTGGGGGGACGGCCCAGGGAGTGTCAGCCCATCAAGGGTTTGGTGAGAAGGTTAAACCAGGCATTAATTGCTGGAGAAAGCTCTGGAAGTTGAGTCTCCCACCCCAGACACCAGCTCAGGGATGGGATGAGATGCTCCTCACCCCAATCAGACCCTTCTGGACCACGTGTGGCTCTGAAGGCCGATGAGCCACACGCAGTTTGGGAAGCAAATCCAACAAAAAGCGAGCTCTGAAGGCCAGTTTAGCCAGACAAGTGTCCCTACACAGCAGTGGCCCAGCCAAAATAATCCGCTTTCAGCCGATGGCTGACTCATGTTCCTGAGCTTCCCTGTTTGGGAATTCTCGGGAAAACCTCAAGAGTAAAAACTTGGACTCAAAGCAAAGTAGGAAGAAATGTAAAAGACCAAGGAAGGGGGTGATACCCTGTGAACACTCGGGTAATGAAGCAGCTCTGCTGTGTGAGAGTGAGGTGAGACCTGATTTAGCTCCAGGAGCAAAAACAACCTCTAAAAATAGGAGAGTCGGGTTCACAGCCAGTGCAAACCATCGTGTCCCCCCCCAAACCAACGGTGCTGCTCCAGTTTTGTGTCTGACCCAAGATGTCTCAGGCTCTGCTCAAAACTCAGGTTCTTTTCCAAAACGTCTTTAAAATGAAATCAAATCTGTGTATTCACCCAGTACCACCAGTACACACCAGAACTCTCACAAACGAGTCCTGCAGAACCTGCTGACGATCTGTGTGATCTCAGCCTCACTCAACAGCTTGAGATGGGTGTTCCCAAGGAATCCAGGGATTCTTTGAGGCCTACAGGGGCTCACCAACCTGGCAGTGCCCATGGAAGCCAGGCCAGGGCTCCCCACATGGGGAAAAATAATGAGAAGCTCCAAGTAGGAGGAATTTGGAGGCAGAGGTGAAATCCCAGCCTGGGCAGTTTCTCGTGGGGAGGAAAAGTGTTAAACTCCAGCTGGGACAGCAGCTGCACCAGGGACCAAATTCCCTGGGGGTGGACTGGACTGAGGAGCCAGGGATCCCATGGACATCAATGGGACATGGAAAAGGGGCTAAAAACTCGGGAGGGATCTCTAATCCTGCAGTCAGCAGCTCAGGAGGAGTGCTGGAGGGAGGGAAAGATGGAAATAGCAGGGAGCCACTGAGTCAGGGCCCGAGGGGCTGCTCCATGGGGAGGAGAAATTCAGCTCCTGAGGCTCTTAGTCACAGCTGAGGGTTTACATGGACACCCTGGGACTGCTGCTTCCCAAGGTTTGGCAAAATGCACCAAGACTGGCTGCTCTGGAGCATTCTCTGCAGCAGCACCCCTTTGGCTCTGGAAAGGAAGGCAGAGGCCCCAAAATGGGGCAGAATTGAAGAAATCCTGACCACCCCAAACCTCACCAGCCCAAAATGGGGCAGTGTTAAAGAAATCCCCACCACCCCAAACCTCACCAGCCCAAAACATCAGGGCAGCACCATGAACGTTGCACCCACAGGGGTGCTCGTGGGCCCCAGAACATCCCAGTGCTGGATGGTTACTCCAAACGGGGAACACTGGGCAGGTTGCACTCACTGGGCTTGGTTTCACTGCTCTGTGCCTCAGATTCCCCTTCTCCCAAGCCACACAGGTATTTTTCCCAGTGGTGACCTGGGAAGGTGACCATTCCCCTGGCCTTGCTGAGCCTTTAGCACAGAGCAGTGAGAAGGAAGCAGGGAGCTCCCAGTACAAACCAGTCCCACTCCAGCCCCAGCCAGGGCTCCATCACAACCATCTCTGCTCCCTCCAACACATTCCTCCTGCTGAAGCCTTTCCAGGAGCAGCTCAGCACACAGGAAAACAGGAAACACGGGAAAAGCAAATCCAAATAACACCATGGTAGGGGGGGGCGGGGGGTAAGGAGTTGAATTATTGTGCTTGGGTTTATTTTTAATTTTGTTGAATATTTTATTTGGAGCTTTGCACCACTCAGCATCTCCCTGAGGTGATGAGCCCGCAGAGATGGGCAGAGGAGTGGGTTCCCCCCTTTTAGGGGGAGTTCAGCTCTCCCTGCCCGAGCATCCTCTGCGGGTGTGTGTTGCAAAAACACCTCCCTGCAAACCGACCCCTGCCCTGTGCTGCTGGTGGGTGTGAAATGCCTGCAGGATTTCTTGCCATGGATGGGGGTTTTTTACACCTCTAAGTGCATCCAGAATTCCTTTTGATCCCAAATGCCCGTCCATGTGTGGGGGGCAGGTTTATGAGCTGGGTGTGACGGGGGATGGGACTGGGTGGGTACAGGGGGGGTGTCTGGGGATTGGGGTACAGCATTTTGGGGATGATCTGAGAGCAGCTGGGAGAGGAGACACATGCACAGAGAGCCTGGAGATGCGCCTGGTTTTGGGTAAAACACCCCAGGCATGTCGGTGCCCGTGGGTAGGGGCTGTCTGTGTGCCCAGGGAGGCCCGGGGGGGCTGTGGGTGCAGGGTCCTGCTCACGTGTGTGAGCACATGGTACTGGGGACATGGGGACCTGGGGGGGCTGGGGAGGGGTGGTTTGTGTGTTAACAGCTGAGAGCCTGTGCTCTCACGTGCTGATGGGCACCACGTCCTGATGGGCACCGTGTCCTCATGGGCACCGTGGGCGGCATCGACACGGTGACAGTGGGGGACGGGGGGCCACGGGGTGTCCTTCGGGGCTGCTGCTGCTGCAGAGGAGGAGCACGAGCTCCTTGGGGACAGTCATGAGGATCCCATTTGCTTCAGGACCAGCCCTGACCCCTGTCCACGCCTCGGCCACTGAATGTGGGTTTTGGCGTGGCCATAACCCAGCGAGAGGAACCCAGGCACTCTGCCCGTCCTGGAGCATCCTCGGCCTCTGCCAAGACTCAGCCTTTCCAAGAGCAATCCCTCATCTCCGTGTGCCCCAGAGGTGCCCAGGCAGCACCTGAGGGTGCAAAGGAGGCAGGGGTTGGGTTTACCTCCAGTTTCAGCCCAGCATCCCCAGGTGTGATGCACTGGGAGGAGACTGGGAGATGATGGAAGAGGTGTCCTGTGGGATGGGGGACGGCCAATGTGCCCGGCGGGAGGAGGGGGATGGCAATGAGGGCACCCACATAAACCACAGGAAGAGTCCATCTCACCACAGGGACAGAGAGCTGAAGACACAACCCCAGCAGGGCCCCATCCCACGTCCCCACCGGCGCGTTCCGGGATCTTACCCTGGCCGCCTTGGACGAGTAGGGATCCTCAAAGAGCGCCCACATCTTGGGCTGCCAGTTCCGACAGCAGCCACCCCCTCCAGCAGCCCCCGCCGCCCCGGGGGGCCTGTCATCCATGCCCAGGCGCTGCAAGGCCATCTCCCTACCCCCTTCCTCTTCGGGCTCCTCCCCGCCGGCCCCTCCGCCGGGCTCGGGGCTCTCGAAGATGTCCAGGGCCTCCTCGGCGTCGCGGTGCTGCCGGTAGGTCATCCAGCAGCAGGGCTCCACGTCGGTCTCGTCGATGCCCCAGTAGGTGAGCTCCTCCTCGAAGAGGGGCCCGCAGATGTCCGCGGGGCAGTGCAGCTTCCCCGTGCGGTAGTAGTTGAGCACGTAGGAGAAGATCCCGGGGTGGCGGTCGAAAAAGAACTCGTTGCTCTTCCCGTCAAAGTCAAAGTTGCTCTGGGCGTCGGGGTCGGCGAGCCAGGCCAGGCGGGTGCCCGGCAAAGTCCGCAGGGTGCTCTTGTAGGTCTCATGCCGGGTGCCCCCCACGTTGATGGTGATCTTGTCCGACTCTTCCCCTTTGCCCATCTCTTCCTTCAGGCATGTTTTGGAGGGTGGTTTGTTCCCAGACTTGCGTCCACGGTAGGAGGAGA